AGACAAAGCCCAGTGACTCTAGGACACCTAAGAAATCTGTCAGCACTACTGCCTGTTTGCAATTCGTGGGGTGAGCAACTGATTTACACAGATTGAACAGAAAGCAAACATCTGGCGTGTAACTTTACAATGCAGACACACGTTCTGAAGGCACAGATGGCCTTCAGATGGCAACTCCACGAAGGTTCTTCTGCTTGGAATCCAGGCCGGCAAGCATGTACCTCTTTCCACCAAAAAGAGAGCTGAAACCAAACCTGAAAACCAAAGTCAATTCCAAAGAAAAAAAGAGGCAGAGCCAATACACCAGCCGAGCAAAATAAAGGGAGCAGCGTAAAATGGATTAAAAAGTACCAAAGGGTTAGGGTTAATGGGAGAGATTCAGGATGGGATCTCTAAGTGCAAAATGGGACTGGGTCAGCAAAATATCTGGGATGCCACTAGAGAGAAGGCTTGTTCGCTAGAGGAGGGGGAAATGCAGAGAAAAAAGGCCAGAGAAAGATTTGCATGGCCAGATACAGTTACATAAGCAAAGCCAAGCCTTGATATGATGCCAGTAGCACTCAGAGACTGAACTGTGCCCCAAACAATTGGCAGAAGAGCTTTCAATGTGTGTGTGATACCATGCCCGCTGTGAACTCCTATTTTATAAGCCCGCTGCAGGGTTACCAACTTCCTGGGGCTTCCAAATACTTCGCAAAGCAAACACATGTAGGACACAATATCCCAAAGAACCAGAGACTTTCAATCTGGAATACCAACCGGAGCTGGGCAAAGGGGGTTTCAGCTACAGATACCATTCAACTGCATGATGAAGGTCAGAATTTGGATATTGAGCTCTGAGGTCATAAAGTGGGACTAGGCCCAATAGCATGAGGCAGGAAATCCAGGATAAATAATGGAAAGGGGAATGTGAAAATGGAATTGGAGTTGCAACAGTGCTATACATGGGACTGTGAATTGAGCAGCCCCCACTAAAGAAGAGAAAACAGAAGAATAAGGTTTGGGGGACTGATTATACCCCGTTTCACGCTGGAAAGAACATAGAACTTATGCCTGTTTCATTCTGAAGAAATTTACTTTTGTGGAAATTTTGTGTAAGAGTTAAAAGAGAAATGGGTTCAGCTCCATGACTGAGTAGCTGCATAAGAGAAAGGAAAGTGATGGTCTCTTTAAAAAAACTGCCCAGTATTCCAGTTTCAAAATGAGTCATTATTTCAGCTGAGGTTTTATTGGCAGCGTGATTTTTCTCCTGGATCTAAAATGGTCCATATTTTTTGTTTTCTGTTGTAATAAGATTACCTACTTAAACAGAAGTATTGAACCATGCAAGTACTTCTAATTAACCTCGTTGTTACATGATCAATTTAGCCTTCACAATTTAGACATTTTCTAATTAAGAATTGTCGACCAATTCCTATGGACCTCTTTTGCATAATTTGCAACTCAACTAATTATTTTTTTAAGCATAATAATTTTTCCCTACTAGGAAAGTTATCCAAGGCTTAAAGTTTCTAATGCCTTCCTAGTTTTATGATTTTACAGAATATTTCTTTACATATAATTCATTGTAAGATATAAGCTTTACATAAAATTTACCACAAAACAATTACTTTGTAGGTGTATCATCTAATTTAGGAAACCGGTCACTCAACTTTTGTTTATGAATCATAAAATCCCCGCTATAAAAGCTGAATCCCAACTAATTGGGATACCATGCTATGCTGAGTGTAGGACTGCCCCTAAAAATATACCAGCTGAGCCCTTCCACCCCCAAATGTATCCAACAGAACAATTAAACTAGCATGGAATCAAGGGCGAAATGGGAGAGGCAGAAGGTAGGAAGATCTTGCCCCTTCCATCTGTTGCAATACCAGCAATGAAACCACTACAGAACCTTTTCCAGTAGTTCCAGCTTCAAGGCTGCTACTTCCTCAATAAGTCCATCTGCACAACAATACTCCACCTAGAACAGTAACAGGGACTCCTTCTCAGGACTCCAAACAAAAAACAGAGGAGAATGGTGGTCCTATCTTATCTAACTGCTGCAATTCACCTCTTTTGCGAGAGGTGAATGGTGTTTTTTAACCCAAGTTGTATTCCTCCAACATTCTTCCCCGCTGAGAACACAGAGGCAGCACTGCCCAGACAGGCAGAAGACTCCTCTCTTCTCACACAGGAGATCTCTTTCTCTAACTGCTGGCCAGAAACTCACAGGCTGCATCGACACAACATGCTAATCCAACCGTGGTTAACAAGTCCCAGGGACTGTATTCACACAACATGCTTAGCCAAAATAAACAACAAATTATGCTGTAATGTGAGGGCTGGACTTAGTATTCTAAACAGCACTTGTTGGTTTTGGCTTGCTGGGCTTTGTAAAGCATGGCTTAAGAATTACATGCAATCCGGCCCCCACCATTTATACTTCTGCGTTACCAAGAACAATTTGTCACCACACACGGATGCAGAGAGTCCTGACAAAACTCTCAAGGGAAAGAAGATCTCTTTACAGGCTACTCTATCACCGTCACGGGATCTTCCCACACCCTGTTCAATGCTCCTGGATGTTTTCCCATGGAGCCATTAACCTAACTTGCTTACATTAAACAGCAAACCAAGGTGTTACTGAGATGGAGCTGCCACCAGAGACGAATCTGAATTTGCTAGCCAGCTGCCTACAGAACTACTATTCATTGCTTAGCACTGGTTAGCAATTCCACAGATGTCTCTCTTTTTTTTTTTAGGGACTTCTCCATCCCAAATACCATGCAATAAAGGTGTTGATGTTACAGGATTATAAACACAAGCCAAGTCATTCTTCTTCAGAGATGTCTTGTTTCTAAACTGGCGCACTCATTACTTACTTGTTATTCTTACAATGGATTTGCTTGCATAATTCCACGTAATGTCAAATTAACACTGCTTTTATAATTACCAAGTCTCCCATTATTATAATTCTCAACAAAGCATACAAGAAAGAGCTTGGTGGAGATTCATCATGAAGATTAAAAGAACAGGAGTTTCCTTTGATCTGGTTAAGAAGAAACTTATTAACTGCCGTTAATGCTGAGAACCACATAACATTTGACTGAAAGGTGACAGAAATCATGTTCCAGAACCATGGACCGTATAATCATTTGGATTACTCTAGAGCTTTTAAGAGAGCTAAGAGCTTCTTGAGCAACATTTTGGCACCCAAACCTACCTGAATAATTTAAAACAAATATTTCACAGTCCCACCAGCTTTTTAAACCAGCCTGTGTTGCAGTTTTGCAAAACAGACATTAAATAGCAGTTAGCTGGAAGAGTTAATGGCTGCTTGGCCAATTTGCACAGCATTACACTATTATTCTTGATGCTAATATTAAATCGGAGGAAAAATAAATTCAGCACATTTCCCCTCATGATACCTCTCTTCTCTGTTTAATCACTTCCATGTAAATGGTCATGTCTAATAAAGAATTCTGTTCACCCACTTCATCTTCCTGCCATTTATCAAATGACAGCCACCGTTGCTGACCTTCCAGTTAAGTGCTCTGAGGAACAATAATTAAAGTCTCAGGCACAGACGTGTAATGTATAAACAAATAGTGAAACTTCATCCTACTTGGGAGATTTCTATTTGTCCTCTTCATTAGTAGATGGTGATATGGAAGATATATTTGGAGCTTCCAATAAGTAAATGGTGAGTAAAACAGATTGGAGATGGACATGATATACTCAGAACTTGCTTCCAACTTTTCCCAACATGAAAAATACAATACCTAGATAATGCAATGTATCACAATCCATAAAAGGAACAGGGAAGATACACTCCAAACTGTTTAATGTGTATGTTATAGAGAAGATCCATGATGTGAGTTTCCAGGTTTTTTTTTAAATTTATTCTCCTTTAAAAGTATACATAACGGGTTGCAAACTGCAATGAAGCAGTGCAGGAAAGAGAGATTTAACCATTTTCAATTAATGGTTTTCCATCAACTAGGGAAGGCAGCACAATCAGGAGAACACACCCTCTTCTGGTGCCAGGTAAGTATAATGGATTTCCAATATAAGGCAAGGTTCTATCTAACATACATATCTACTTACTGATTTTTAAAGATTAAATAGAATTTATTTCTAATGAGTTTCAGGCAGTCCCTAATAAAAAAAAAAAAAAGTAAGCCCAGAGATGTGTTTTACAATTCAAGACAATATTTTGGCATCTGTATTTGAGAAAATCAACACATACATCTGAGTGAATATCACATACTGAATTAAAGGTCAAACTTGACAGTTTCTACAATCTGAAGTTTGACCATGCCAGTTCTATAGGTGTTGACACATTTGGACTTAAGAATTTGGCTTGGTAGAATATTTAGCTTTCAAGCAACCTGTACGTTTTCATTACATATGACAAATGTAATCCTGACCTCTCATTTTTAAGCATTCTGTATGTGAATGCCTAACAGTTTTTTCGCCTCTTCATTCCAGTGGTGTTTTAATAGTAAATTGTAACAATTGTCTGCATTATTTATTATATATGACCGGGTAAAACTACTCTTTCCATGTAGTTTTCCAAAAATACTACAGAATCTGGACATGTATAACCTTCATTTTGCAAAGAAAATAAAATGGGCTTATGCTAGCAGGCAGAATAAGGCTATACTTTTATAATCTGCATAACTAGACTATATTTAGAAAATCTGGAATAAATGTTGTTCACACATACATGCCACTTGAACTTCTGATTTTCTTTGCAAGAGAGCCCCCATTCTGTTCCTCACAACACACTGATAAAAACCACCATCAGATTTTTTCAAGGACGGAATAACATATCTGCAAGACAAAAAAGAGAAACTTTAATTAAAACATGCTCTTGGTTTTAATGTTGCTTTCTCAGAAACTGTTTAAAGCTAATGAAAAAGAATATCTCAGCTAATGAACTTTTCATGATCCTAACACACATTGCTTCCCACTCCCTTGATCATCGCTCCTTGTTTTTGTACTATTCTATAGCCTGTTTTGCTGTATGCAAAAGAGAAGAAAACTAAAATGAATCACATAGTATTTTTTCTCTAAGAATCATTATTAATAGATTAAATTCCACATTTTGTGTAGAATTACATGGACATTTTTTAACATGTTCTACCCTCAGTATTCCATTTCTGCATCACCAGTGCAGGAAAGTGGATTTCTTGCCTGGTGGTGAAATAAAGCAACACAGACATCTAAACAGTGATATTAGGAAAAATGTTCAACTGCATGTTCTACCGCTAAAGTTTTTTGAGCTTATATAGGGTGATCAACTGAATTCATGAAAAGTACTGAAAAAAAAGTGTGCACATGTTTCTCAGATTACTAAAATACACCCGTTCTGATGATCACCATCTATCCTTTCTAATAAGCTTTGATAACACTGCCAAATGATGCTTCCCCTTTTCTCCAAGAACATAAAAAGACTCAGAAAGCTGAAAGTGTTTTGTAGAGCCCTCTGTAGTAGGACTGATGCTTAATTCTCATGTTTTTCTATGAAGTCTAGATGGAGAGTAACGTATCTTTCCTATCCCCACAGCAGTTTTAGGCCAATTTGAGACCTGCTTAGCAGTAACAAGTGCACTGTTTGAATCCAGGAGCTCCCACCATTGTATCCATAGCTTTGAAAATCATAATGTAAAGGTTGTGAATTAAATGCTAGCATATCCCCCAAAGCTAATAGTCTCTCTTTTCCAGTGACAGAGGAGTTGTTTTGCATGCAAAAGAGAAAAAGCTTTTTTTTTTTTGGTCTGTATGCCAGAAGGGTACTTTAAGTTTCTGCAGATCTGAGCAAGTAATTTAGGAAAATTGACAATTTGTTTGGATACAGCAGCCCTACAGAAACTGCTGCTTAAGAAAGTCTAAGACAGAAAATGGATAGTACATCAATAAATGGAAATATCACTGAGAACCTGGAAAGTCTTTTTATTCTAGATGTGGAGGAAGTCTGCCCTCTTTTATATGTCCAATTCAAAAGTTGGTTTCTTTACATTTGAATTTTTATTCTTAGATGTCCTCTCAAATTTGAATTTAAGTTAGTCTAATAAATAATGATAATACTTGGATAACTCTTAGGTTTCTAGCTGGAACTTTAATTTCCAAAGGATGAATACCACCAACGTGATTCTGTTCTTTGTACTCTGTTATTTTTAATTAACATCATTGTTATCATTATCATATCCCTGAGAGCAACTTCCTTGGTCTTTCATGTCACTCGCGGTCATATAACAGAAAATGCCAGGAACCAACTTGGAATTAAGAGCATCTCTCTGTCTGTCTGTCTGTCTCTCTCATATATCCACACACATAACATAATCTACAATAACATGCATACTTGTGATTCACCTTTTCCCACCATAGAGGATAACATTTTGGATTATGTCTGGAAAACCAAGGTTTAATTCAGCACTCAGCTATGAAGCTCACTGGGTGACTTCAAGGCAGTCATCAATCTCAGACTAACCTTATCCTGCAGGGTTGTTGATAAAGATAACATGGGGGAATCACATATGCTATGACTTGTTTGGGGAAAAGGTATGATAAAAACAATAAATAACAGTTTTCTTGCATCACTGTTGTCCATCCTGAATGTAAATCTTGTTTTGGCAATGCCAAGATATATCACTTTTCATCTTTCCTGCACAATCACATATTAATAAACTGCTCTACATTACACAAAACTACATGCAGAAGTTGGACAGTGTGGATTATCAAACACATGGCTGGCTATAATATGTTGATGATAGACTATGATTAATAATATGAATAGCAAGGCATAACTATGTAAAGATCTTAGTTATCCTTTTTTTTCAGCTTTAACCCTCAAGCTTGCTGTATAAATTATTCAAGTATTTATTAGCGATGAATAATTTAGTGTGTATTAACTAAAATGCATTAAACTTAAACTGTAGGATCACTTTTATTACTTTTTGAATTGGAGTATAAATCATATTCTACTCTAATCAATTATTACTTTGTCACTGATTGTAATTGACAGGGACTATAAGTAGCATTTGAACCATATTATAGTTACTTGGCAAAAAAGAAAAAAATACAACAATAACATCTTTTGTTACGCTGCTTGCCAACAGGACAAGATTAGAGCCAAATTTAGTCAAACATTCTTCCACCAAAGGCAAACAGTCTGTAATAATTTCATCCCAATGAATAAATGCAATTCCCTGAATATAAAAACAAAAACATGCTAACCGTATCTTGGATTGTAGCACACAATTACAAACAAATAATAGAACTTTAATATTCATAGTAGCACATTTATTCAAATAAATATTGTAAACTTTGATTAGTTTTCCATGCACACTTTGCTTAACAAAACAAATGTTTCAAGGATATGAAACAAGTTAATCAAGGACTAAACAAAATAAATATGTGTTTCACTGTGAACAAACTTATACATTATATGTTACCAAAACTTAAATACCTTAATTACTTAAAAAGTGTAGTTTTTGAACTTATCGCTGTAGTTGCAATATGTAACAGTATACTGATACAAAGTGCTGCTTGCTTTTGAATTATAAATGTTATACTATATGATATTAATTTTAGGTATTATTCAAAAATGAACAAGAACTTGTTATGCATATACAATGCCTGATCTGGCCAAGGCCAAAAAATGTTTTGTCAAGTAGGAAACATCTCTGTCTTCATATTCAACTTTTGGTAATTCCAGTTTTTCGGAGACCTGCCATGCATCAAATTCTCTCTGTATCCTTGTTTTCCACTGGAGATATGCATGTGTGATTTTTTCTATTACTGGCAGACTACAGCAAGGCTTGCCCCATTGATCAAACAAACAGCTGTGTTGACTCATGTCTGCTTTCTTCCATGATTAATCAAAATACCTTAACCTTAAATCGCTTTTGAAATCTCAATTCCATACACAGAAAACATTCAACAGCTTAAAAAAATGAGGGCAAAATGAGAGAAACAGAAATAATGAGGATTATTTGACTGCATAGAACGCTGCTTAGATTCCAGCACTTCTTCAGTGATGAGACCATATTTGCAAGGCTTGTGGGACCAGCGACCATGGACTGACGAACTGATTTCTTCATGTGCATGCTGTCATAAAAAGGACCATTCACTCCTTCTCTTAGCACAATAGCATCTACAATGCTGGTATATGTGCAGCTCATTCATCTTTGTGTTAGCTTGCTCATGAGAGCAAGCAGCTGAAATGGTTTTGGGAGGGACCTGAGTAGCCTTCTAAATGTATCTCACAGAAACCGTGAGTAACAGAGAGAGAGAGAGATTAACAAAGAGATATATTTGGATTGGGCTAATATGATGGAGGCTTACTGAGAAGCACTGCAGACACCATGACATTATTAGGATTCTATATTCTCAAATAACTTACTTATATTCCCTGGAGAAGGCTGTAGTTTCCATATCATTATGCAGCCATTTAAATTCCAAAGGCCAACTTCCTTCTGCCAAGCAAGTGAGAACAAGGCGGTTTCCTTCTAGATGAGTCTGAGGCAAACCTGGTTCCGTCTTGAAATAGGGGGCTACGTCATCTGAAACATAACATATCACTTTTAGACTTATGTCCTAAATGATATATCATGATGTCACATCAGCTGACAAATCAAGATCAAAACTCTATGACTAGATTCTGCTTTCAGATCCTTGCCATAAAATATTTTCTTTAACAATCAAAATGATAAGACCATTGTATGAAAAGAGGAAAGCCCCAAAGCGTGATACTCTTATTATCCTAATCATCTAGAGATGAGGTGTTCTCCAGGAGGCATCCTACTGGAACAAAGCCAGAATAAAAGATACTATAGGTAATGGCCTGGCTTCCACAGCACAGTAAGCTGTATTGTGGTTTCTTTAGTTTTAGTTTATGAGTGGGGCTTGAACTCATTTCACTATGGTTTATAAACCATTGGGTATGAATTAGAACATTACGCAAACCCAGCATACTGGGTTTCAATAAGCCACAAGCCAAGATGTATGAACCAATGTTCACGCAATACTGCAGACTACAGGGGAAAGCTTTGTGTTCAGGACCATGGAGAGCAACATTGGAGCTAAACTAGGCTGATTGCTGTCCATGTAGCTAAGAGAAACTCTATATAGCCAGGCCAGAATAGTCTTGGTGGAAGCCCTGTTCCCTTAAATCCTAGTCGGTTGGTTGTCCAAAGAGCCAATATATGAGACAATGCTTCTCCTATAAACTCCTGCAAGAAAATAAATATCTGCCAGGCGGGTTCTACTCTGGATCCCCAACTGGGAGCAATACAATATATGGTGATATGAGGAAAGGGCATCTTGGTAGTTGTGTCCGTATTTCAGAATTCCCTTCCCCTAAAAAAGCTACCCTGAGTTTTATTATAAGAGTGCCAAGGTGAAGATCTGCCTATTTCCCAAAAGGTTGGGTTGTAAATAGTTTGCTCTGCTGTCATTTTTATTTAATGACCTCATTGTATTATTTTTATTGTCTATCCCACCAGGAAATCTATTGATATAATAATATTTAAATAAATCCATCTGTAACACTCTTAATTTGCATAAGATTATGGTGTGTTTCCAGATGCTCCAACTGGCATTCCTGGGAGGAAAGGCAAGATAAAGCAATAATGAAAAGCTGCACTCCATGTAGCAAGGGTTCGAATGAGGATGCATGATTCTCCTTCCATAGTCTGACAAATGAAATGGTTAGATTTTATGGTATCTGAAATGCTAACCACAAATATAGTTGTGTGTTATATCTTCTGGCATAATATTTGGTGTGGGTTCTTTTTATTTGTACATTTGCAAGAATTAAATTCAGCTCATTAAATGCTTTCTAAAAAGTTAAAAAACTAAGCTTGGACAAAATGATTACCCCAACAGGTCATGTATCAAGATAAATGAAGAATTTTGATAGCAGCTTTGAACAAAAACATCCTCCAGAACTGCAAGATTAATGTGCCTTTCAACATTGTGTTTAACCAGACAATCTTAAAATTACATTTTAAAAATCTGCTTTAGGGATTGAATAAGAATATTTTTAATAGTGTCAAGTGTCAGATAGAGTTTTGAAAGTATCATCAACCTGTTAACCAGATTCCATGATGGAAAAACATAAGCAGAAACAATATTTTTTATCATTAAAATACTCAGCTGCGAATATCAACAGACTTAGTGTATTTCCACTAGTGGTTCTCCAGAAGCCAACACATGACATGAGAATTCTCCACACACTGTTTGGGCGCATACATTGTGCCATGACATCAACTCTGGTTTACAAAGCAGCAGTGGAGTTTTGAGGTGGTACTTTGCCTCAACAAAGTTCTGCTCAAAGTACCCCTTGGAAGGGCTTCAGTAAAGGGAAGTGTTCCCTCACATCAAAACACTGGAGCAAAGCATTGTACTAGGAACTCACAAGTGTTTCTTCTGTGCATCTACAGCACATGCACATAAGCCAGTCGTCACTCAGGTAAGATGGCCAAAAGAGTGTGGATCAACACTGCCTCAAAACGTCACCAAAGTAGAACATCTCAGTGGATGAAGACAAAGCCCTTTGTCCTGGCACAATCCTTTGAAATGGAGCGATGCCATGTTGCACACAACTACCACGCCCCACAAGGACTAGAACTGAACAATATGCAAAACTGAATCCAATCAACTACATTAGACATAATACAATACGAGAACCCAGCTCCTAAACTGCCCCTGTCCATAGTTAGTCACCCTTGAGAAGCGCAAGACTAGAATACACCTCAAGGCCTGATTCTCTTTGAGGACAAGACAAAAGCCAAGTTGCCCTATAGAGTGATTCCTGCAGGGGCTGTGAAAATGTGTGTGATGGAGCAGCCAGTCTGAAATGTCTAAGTGCTTTCTTTGAAATAAAACATAGGAGACAGCAATAAATAGAAAAAACAAGTTCCTCAAGGATTGGTACATTCTGTAATAGATTCTAGCTCCACTGAAGTCTCTGACAAAAATTGCACTGATATCAAAAAAACTCTGTAACATTTTTTCGTAAAATTGCCAGGGTATTTTTACTATACAAACACACAAAATGTGCTTTCAAACTAGGAGGAAAAGTCAGAAGAGTTCTATATAATTATGAACACTTTGCATGTTACAGACCATAAGCAAGCAAGGAAAGCTTTCCTCCAGGGTCTTCTCATATCAGTGAAAATTGCCACCATGTGACAAAGGCAGCTGTGGATTAAATTTACTAATCCACTTTCTTTTCCTTAGGAAACTATTGAGCTGAGCCATCCAATGAAGCCAATGTCTAAAAACTAGTTACCCTAATTAGCTCTTTGTACCCATTTTCATTTGTTTACAATCAACACACAAATTAACAGGAAAATAATGCTACACTGGGGATCTTCCTTGTTGCTTCTCTCTGGCATAATCATTTCTCCATTTTCTTTACTGGGCCCTGCCCAATAATTTGTATATGCTTAAAAAGTGGCTGCTAACAGTTATGACTGCTTGCCTCTACACGACCTATGAATAATAAAAGAGGCAAAATAATTATCTACAGATAAAAAAAATCATCCTTAGACTGAATGGGCCTATAAATCAATTATCAACAAGTGAACATTCCAGGGTCTCCAGGACTTGACTTGGCAATCTGGTGTCTGACATTAGAAGCTTGATGTTTTTTCATTAACTTTGTGTTGCTCAGACCTCTGAGTCCTAGAAAGAAATTGCCTTTTATATAACATCAGTTCCTTTGTTCGGCAAGCAGTGTAGGGTCTCGCAACTAGGCAGACCTAATACATATGTTAAGAGCTGAGACAACAAAAGTTCAGGCGCCAGTTTTCCATCGCTCCAAACTCAAGGGCACTGAAGCAAATAAGATCTTGAATGTCTACATTCAAGTATGATGATCCATGCCCTTAGTCTGTAACTATCTGACAACTTCCCAGCCTCTCTGCGTCATACCAGTAATCTAAACCAGAAGTAGTTTGGTCTCCCCAAAATTTCATTTCCTATCATGCCTGGGAATCCAAACAGCTGTAGGTTGCTGAATAAATGTTTGAGCAACATTAAAGAACTATTTAAGCAAGATTATAAGAAAATGATCAAACTCAAGTATTTTTTAGAACTAAAGACTAATAGATCAGAACATTCCTAAAACTATATTTATAAAACAGCATGATTTATAAAACAGGCCAATGTTCTGTAAGATTGTTTTAAGCCCATTAAAAAACTATATTCATTCAATTTTTTGTTTACATATTATGCAAATAACTTGTTGAACTAAATAAGCAGTGCATAGCAACATTTGTTTGAAACAAAATTAAAATGCCAATACCAGACAAGACCTCATTTTAAGTAATGATTCCAATGCAAATTTGCGTATTTCTTCACATAATTCTTTTTTTAGGTGTGATAACGTAGATACCTTTCCCCAAACGATGTTCCCCATACCCCATACCTAGAGGCAAAACGGTCAGAAGAGCTTCATACAGAACATTGTTTCTAATTTTCCCAACTGGAAAATACAAGAGATGAAATGTTATACTATTGAACAACAGGGACACCAAGTATGATTTTGCAGCGGCTTCAGAAGCACAAGGATCCCTTCTATCAGTCCTGCTCATGGGTTAGTAGACAAAGCTATCCATGAGTTTTGTGCATCTCTTGACTTCTTCCCTTTTGCGTGCAAAAGAACAAACCAGGAAACAGCTTGGTTACATGCTCGTGTCATATGCAAAATATGGTAAATACCTTCCAAATCAGCCAGGATACTAAAACTTAGTCCCATAGCACAGTTTCATCTTCTTCTAGGAACCTCTAACCATTGTTTTTTTCTGGCCTGGATACAGCAGGGAGTTATAATGCACAATAGATCCAGGGCTTATTTGCTACTTGGGCAAAACAGCTGTATTAGGCTACAAGAGGCTCCTAAGAATCTCAGTTTATCAAGCTGACATTCAACTGCTCATGCCAAGCTCTTATCTGTCTCTTTTTGCTACTCCACAAATAGAAACCCCAACTTTCCTATGATAGTGCAGAGTTACAACAGATCCATTCTTTGAATCTTCATCCCAAATCTGTGGAAATCTCCAGAATGAACTCTGTCTTTAGCTAAAGTATCTTAAATTTCAGGATCTACTAAAGCAGGGACAAAGGCAAAGGCTAAAAATGATGAATAGATCAGTAAAAAAGATACATTTTCATCTGCCTTTCCACCCTGGTCTAACTGCTTTGCCGCCAGAGGACAGAATACTCTCTTTCTGGAATTATTCTTAACAAGGCTTTCTTTCTACTAGGTATATTATTTCACTTGAAAGTCTTCTTTTAACAGGCATGCCTGCAGCTGGGATTCAAAAGCAGCACTCAGAACATATATACAAAGTAAAAAAGACAATATGACTTATAGTATTTAAATTTATGAGCTGTAGAGTACACTGTAACTCATACACCCGTTAAGTATGCTCATGAAACAGGAGCAGTGGCTCAAGATAGCTAATACCAATATATTCCAAATGATAATTACTTTATCCTGTTTACCAAAACAGATGATAATCCTGAATTTTCGACAAACCTTCCAAAAGATAGA